AGAAATTCCAACCAAAATTCAACTACACAAGCGTTGAGCTCAAACTTTCTAGCGATAGCGTAATTACCTAGTTTGGCAATCAGTTTCTCATTAACGTAGCTGTCTGATGATGAACTTTTGACGAGAGTGGTAGCATTTCCCCCATCAGTTTAGGCCCGATGTTGATGATCCGTACGATTGAAATTGGAATCTCTGACAGGTACCACAGACCACCAGGGCAGCAGTGGTGATCCGTCGACCCCGATCACCGAGGCACCCTCCATGCCGGTCAACGAGGAACACGATCCTCATTTAGTGTCGGCGTCGGTCTGAGACAGGCTTCAGCGAACGATCTTCCTGAAACGGCTCAAGAGTCACGATGCCAGCCAAGTTTGAGCTGCACGCTCTTCGAGAACGGTCGGAAGATCTTCGCTTGGTACATGCAAGAATATACAAACAACTGGTAAATCCAGTGCTTGCAGTTGGCATCGAAATTACGAAGAAATTTGGTATTATGAAATTACCATCGTTATTTTGACTTTGGTATTTTGAGAGGATTGTTACTGAAATATTTTACCAAATAAAAAAGAAAAAAAAAAAATGACAAATCTATTGCGTCGAATAGGCATCGATATCTAAATTTTCAGAAGAAATCGGCCATTACTTTGGCCATTCGTTCGAATTTCAAATAGTTTCGATCATTATTTAAATGTTTCATCGAATAACCTGTTGTTTCGAATTGGCATCGATGTCGATCGGAATATCGAAATTTGATTTAATTTTGGTTAACAATTAGGAGGATTCGGGTATTGTCGAAATATCTAAAGAGAAAATTATTTGTATGAACGCAATTTCGTTTCGAGGAATCTTCAAGACCATGCGAGTGAGTATTTGAGGGATGAATCAGGTGTGTTGAGATTGATACCTCGCTCATTTTTCGTGTACAATTAGCACGTTATCAGTGTTCATATAACTTTCGTTTAGTTGTATTATTGTACATGGTTTATTTTACAGTAATTTTAATGTTCTTCTGGTTAATTAATTTTTCAACTTTTTTGTAAAAAAAGTGTTGTGCTTTTTGCATAGAAGGTTTCACAAAACTACGCGAAAATATATCCAGACGTTGAGGTTTTTATTTTCTTCGTCTTCTTCTTCACTTTTTTATATTGTTGCATCTTCCTCGCGAAGTAAAAGGGAATTCCAAAAAATTATCATTGCAAGTGTCAATACATTAAGATGAAGCCTCGAAATTATATAAAGTATTTGGCAAATTATGTGTACATAAGATTCTACTCGTTTGCGATTTGCAAGTGAGAGTGAGTGTCGTTTTGTCAGATGTTATTTATTTTTTCTTTCAAACTTTTTTTCAAGTTGTAAGTTGTAAAAATTGGCTTGAAATTTTCTTCCCTCGGAGAGAAAAATATTTACATAAAGAAGTACCGAGTGTTTCTTACAAAGAGAAGTACAGTTAAGTATATCGTGAAGCATATTCTAAGTATGTAAATGAACGAGAAGCGATCGCGATGCAAATTTCGACATATGCTTCTGTTACAGTTGCGTAAATGTATGTCTAGTCAATGTAAATTAATGCAAGCGTGCGATATAGTTACAAAGTGAATATGCAAAAGATAATTTACCAAAGTATTAAATATTAAAGCATATTTTCATCGTACAATGTACTTCCTTATATAAAACTGTAATAGAATTTAAGAAAGAAACGCATATATATAAAATATATACTGATGAAAATACTTATCGTATGTGAATAGATTGTGTATGCAATCTTGTGCATATTTCATATTTAATAAACGTTACCGTAAGTTGCTATTATCGTAGACGCCCGGTGTAACTAAAATATTTTATCACCTTCTATTGTATCGATGTAACGATATTAATAAATTTCAATCACTTTTTTCTTTTTTAACAAATCCCAAGAATGCTACTGTTTTACCTTTCGCAAACTCTAACAATTAAGTATTAACGCTTTGAGATGAATTTAGACATGCAGACCTTCAATTTTAGAAGTCACACCTTCAATTTTGTAGGAAATAAATAACAATAATTCTATCTGAAGTGTAATGAAAATTCAAACAATCGAGTAACACGGGCTTGGTCCATTTTCATCCTGCAAATAATTGTTCAATGATCATTCTCGTGCCAGTAACGCATACTTTGTTCATCCCTGCTATTGTAAATTAAAAAACTTCAAATTTATCAAACGATGTGAGTGACAGGGGAACGAAATAACGACACGGATGGGAAGGAAGGAGTACATATAATACAAATATATTTCATACGCAATTACGTATCTCTTGCTTCTAGACACTTAACAACATTAATCAATAACTTACGGGACGCGATCGTTGCTGAATACACGACACCCTTCTCTTACTCTCATTTTTATTGCACACTAGAAATATACCACAGATGCATTCGTACAGTACAGTATCAATCGCGATACGTCTTTCGCGTACTTTCACGTACACCTTAAGTAGCTACAATAAATAATAATAATTCGACTTCTTAGTCCCATTCATCTCTCGTGTTCTACTCATACTCGTCGATCAAGGATCTATGTTCGTTCGATCTCCACGCTCGCTACGAGACACGAAAAAAAAAAGAAAAAGAGGAAGGAAAAGAAAAAACTTAATAAAACAATCGCACTTCCGGTGCACACAGTTGCACCCTCGATCATCGCGTCACACATGATTCTGGTTCGTCATCTGTCACAAACGACACGATTGCACACGTTGATTACCTCGCGATAAAAATCCCGTTTCGTTTCAATTCTTTTGCGAAAGGACGCAAGAAATCGGAGGCAAATCTTTATCTGTCGCACACGATTTTCTCTTGCTTTTCTTTCGTTCCGTTCGCTTTGGCTTTTCCACGCAGTCAGTCGAGCACAGTCGCACGCAAACACGTGTTTCGGCTAATAGAAATCACACCGATAAACAAAATATAAGCACCTCGTACGTGGTCAACGATTTTTACTAGCGACGGATTGCATAGTCGCTGGAAGAGACGTAATAAGGTCGTAAAAATGGTGAAAAGGCAATAAAAAAATCTACGTTCCGAGAAGAAGAAATTTCAGACATACAGGAGGAGATAAGAAACTCGAAATCTTGCTTAAAATTCGAACCGTGTCTTCTTCTTTAGTGCAGATAGATAGTAAAGATATTTCAAGAATTTGGGTCCGATTCCTTGAAGATTTTTTTGTTTTCAAAGAATTTCTATATTCCGCCAGCATTGTAATTACGTTCCTTAGAGTGTTCAAGTGACATACTGAAACTATCCGTCTTGTATCATAAAGATAAATATGATATATTAATCACGAATCGTTGGTTATCAATTATATTTCGTTTAATTAGCTTGTTCAATTAAAAGAATTCTGCATATATTCAGTATACGTTTTAAAAAAACAGATACTGAAAATAAATGATTTGTTTTTTTTTCACGCAGTGTACAATATGTATATTCTGTATCGAAATTTTACATATAAATATATGTCAGGTTCAGAGTGTTTTCATAAAACGTGCACAAGTTCAGATCATTCTCGATCACGTGACCTCATTATATCAATTCTATCGACTATACCTCATCCTCGAATGGGTAGGCTTGCGAACAATGATTTATCACACGTACAGGTATGTCGATAATTATATAATACACATGGGAAAAATGTCTCTATTCTCTACGACGATCGTATAGCGAATCTTTTAATCGTTTCTCAATTCGAGTCGGTCGAGAAAGATCGAAAATGAAGATTCTATCGTTCCTCGTATCAATATTATCGATTAAATACGACGCAGGGTTAAAACGAATGGTTTTGTGCTTCGCTCATTGAAATTATTCGAGTCAGTCTTGAAGCATTTTGATGTGTCACCGGCTCTTGCAATAAAACGATACATCCTTCCAGAAACACTCATTCCAACAATCTTTTACTTTTTCTTTTCTTCTTCTTCTTTTTTTTTTTTCTTTTTTTTACATATTTTACATTTTTTCATTTTTCCTCGTTTCTTCTTTTTTTTTTCTTTTCTTTGCACGTGTTTTACAATTAGACAACGCATCCATACAATTTCTTTCGATTTGTGGTAAGGACAATAATTTTTATTTCTTCTATATATATTTTGCAATCGTCAAACGTCGTCATAAAATTCCCAAAGTATATTTGATACTTTGAACGCCTAATCTCGGCTCCGTGAGAGATCTAACGTTCGTCAAATGAATAGAAGAAGATTAGTCAACGTTTCAAATATTAACAAAATTGCAAAAGTGTTTTCGATGCTAGAACTACCGGTGTCTAAAGTACGAAACTCGTGTTAGAAAAAAAAAAATTCAAAAAATAGGAAAAAGCTTTATAATACGACAAGAAACACTTAAGAAGTTTTCACTTATACACAGTCAATACAAAAAAATCTTCGTACTGTACATTAAATAATGTAATATTTTTAATCTCATTTTCGTTACGTCGCGTTTCTTTTCAGTGTATTGTTATACAAATATGACCATGCTTTACGAGAAATTATTCAAATTATTCAAATATTCGCGTAAAAATCCTCATGAAAAATTACGAATTGGTCACTCTGGTAGTTCTAGCGTTGAAAAAAGTATCATCGTGGCAAGAGTTCTGTGGTCACGGCTTCGGTATCGTTGCAACTGATCGACGTGCGAACATTTCGTGCGAAAGGAGGAAATCAGAGGGACGAAATATGTGAGAATCGAAAATCGTACGATCAAAGACGAGGGGGAAATGATTTGCATCGCGGGACATTTGGTCTTGCGTAAAACTATCTGAGGGATCGATATCAATTAATTATTGTCAAATACGCTGTATGTTGATCGTGTGTGCTCGATATGTATATACATACATACGTACATACATACATATACATATATATATATATATATATATATATATATATATATAT